TCGAATTAAGTACGAGCAAATTATTCCCGAGGCCATGAAAAAAAATGAGGTCCCCTAAGAAAAGATTAGCGCAATACTAGAGTAGTGTGATCGAAAAGCACCATAGGTTTTTTTCAATTCTGTTACAGATTTCCAAGTCCCTTTCAGCGGGAGCCCAAGGATGTTACCAAGTACAGGCCACCCAAAGGGTCCAGGCGGGTACCTTGTGGCACGGCGGAGGTACTTGTTTAGCAGATTGGCAGTTACTAATAGGGCAACAAGTGTTAGGACGCCAAGGCTGAGAGTAGTGGATGTAAGCTCTGTATACATGATGAATGAGTGGCTTGTTACGGGTTGTCTCAAAGGACCTTCGTACGATTCTTCATACATTGGACAATATATACTTGAGTTGGACAGCCTACACCACGAGATCTGATGAACGTGGCCGCCCAGGACCCAGGTAGAGCAGCGGATGTTGATATAAAAAGAATGTCAAATTATCATGGGAGATGTCCCATCCTCGCTCTGATCATCAGTTCGACACTGATTTATTGAACCAGGCTGTGAACTTTTTCGACCTTGCCCCTTTCGAACATACAGTACCCAATTTTAGCCATTGAGACGAACCGAGCGATGCGTCGATTGGCGGCGACGATTGGTACAACTCAGATGCGGACAAGATGCGGGTCTGGTCTGATCGGGTTTACACCTAGCGTTTGCTTTGCTCGTGTTTATTTCGGATGTCATAAAATCACTGAGCTTATTGCGCCTACACCACCGACGCGTAGCATACCTCACCCGCCACAAACACTCATGGCTGCCTTCGTGGCCCCCTCTCGTCTGGCGGCCCTCACAAAGCTGCGCTGCAGCGTATTCCAAACATCATACAACCCGCAGAGCCTAAGAACTGGTGCAAAATACCTGCGGCGGCGTCTGCGCGGGCCGTCCATGGTCGGGTACTACCCCGAGGCATTCAATATCCCGCAGATCATCCGGAAGTACAAGGAGTTGGAGATGGTGGATGACGATGAGGAGGAGCGTTTGGTCGATGTTATGGACCGGAAGAAGAGGGGCAAGGGCGCACCGAAGAAGGCGAAGGCGAAGGGTGCGTACTTCTTTTGCATCTCTCGTTTCCGTGAAACGGTGTTGATGTGGACGCTGATGACTTTTCTTATCGTGTTTGATGTTTTCAGAGGACAGCAGAAGGTTGAACAAGAGGCGCTGAGAAGTCTTGGTCTCTCACCGAGACTTGGATACCAGAACGAGCATGGCAGCCGGGCAGGCAGCGTCCATGTCTAGATCTTCCGATCCAAGGAATTTGTATAAATTATCCTATTCAGCCTCAAAAACGAGCATCGCAAGGGCTGCAGCGCGAAGGCAGTATGTACTGGCAACACCTTGACAATTCTGACAAAATGTCCTCACCGTGCATCGGTTATCTGTCATTAAGTTTCATCGAAGTGCTGTAATCTTCACTGGAACTGAACAAATGTTGCTATTGTATTTCGCTCTACACGCTGCCTCTCCAGCTCGTGATAAATATGCTGAAGGACACGCTTGTCTCGGGGTACTCTGATGTCCGTTGGAAGGTGGTCCAGTTCTTTCTGGGGCTTATTCCAGTGCCCTGCGAGTACTTGAGCCTTGGCTGTGTCTCAACAACTCGATGGTCTAATAAGCAACTCCGAGTCAGGTCGTTTTCATCTAATCGATGGAAATACATGTCCGCGCAACTGCGTTTTACTCTCTTTCTCTCAGATGCATGTCGCGAGAGCGAAGGGCCCAAACTTTTTCCCCCGACGGGTCACCCTATCCCTCCCTGCCTGCTGAACAGAACGCCTCGCATCAGCCTCACGATGTGGACATCGTCCGAATGGCTCTCCTATTGCTCGAAGTGGCAACCACTTAGTCTCTGGCCTTGCGAATTATTGCGCGGAGGGCTGACTAGTGTCGGCCCTCAATGTCAGCCTCAAGAGAACAACGATCGAACCTGGAGACAAACATGACCATCCTCTCAAGCTCTATATAAACCCGTTCTCTCCCTCTGCCTCTTTCTCAGCCCACTATCATCTTGCCTCCCTTAAGAGGCGATTCACCCCGAGCGATTTATTCTACTACTGGGCTTGCATATGCCATGCATCGCCCTCGCCCGCACAAGCGCTCGCGGTGTCGGTGATGATCCTTGTCATCGATTGACGCCACTTCTGCGTCAGCTATCACCAACGTGTGTTTTCTTCTCCTATCTCTTTTTTTCCTCGTTGAATTTATACTGGCTTAGAGCTTAGACGTTCGCCTCTACTCTCGCTTGAGACTTATTTACGTTAGGCCATTCATTTTACAACCCTGAGACCGGACACTAGCTGGCCATGAGCGCCATCTGGCCTACATTCTCACAGCTACTCGCACCGTCGGTGACGCATATCGCCCATAATAAGGTATGATTCTTAAAAGGTCCTCTGCTCTACCACTGACAATAGCTCTAACAGCAACCCCTCCATCGTCGTTCCTGTTATTGCACGACGCGATGGACTACATCCATTCCTTGTTTCGAACCGCGACGCGCATTATGTGATCTGTTTACTGTGCAAGACTCTTATCATCGGAGGCTGACAACTATATTGGTAAACTATCAATTTTTGTAGCTTGTTACTGCATAGCTGAACACGTTTTCGGCAGCGTCCAGTCTCCGTCGTCGCTGATGCATCGAAACATTATTCATGCCGCATGCCACTGACTCTCGTTAATGGCGGCCCACCTTCTTTCAATGGGCTCTCGCTGTCGATGCTGGGTCGGAAATTATTCTTGTATGTCTTCCTGTTGTTTCGTTGAATCCCATAGCTCACGCATCGTCTAGCTTTTTTTTCTTTCTTTCCTTTTCTTTCGCTTGTTGTTATGTCAGTCATGTATGTTACCGCACATCGGGTCCAGTCAAGAAATTCGGCACGAGTGGTGATGATTCTGTCGTCCATATCTCGTTTCGAATCGCAGGCGGACGGAGGCCCATATGACACGACCGTCGTACTTGGGCCGAAGTATGATCCTCGGGGGGCCCGGAGGCTGATCACCTCTGGTGCAACCGGACGTCGCCGTCGAGCAGATTGCCTATGGCATGATTCGAAGGGGGAACAACAAAAATGCAACGATGGATTAGTACGTCAAGACAAAAAAAAAGTAGGAAGGCGCTCACATAGGAGCCCCCACCCCGTTGACGACGCATCGGGGCGGGCGTGGGACATGGGTTCTCGTCGGTGTATCCTTTTTCTTTTTCTTTACATGCTTAGGTGCTAGCCACGAAATGACATGTTGTGCACCCCTCCGGGGTCAATGCGCTGTGGCGCCTGTTTGATCATGAGTGTTTTTGATTCGATTCACTCTCGAGGAATTACTTAGTTTTTCAGCTAGCCTCACAATGGGCATCACACGCCAACTATATCTTTCGCCGTCGGAAGGTTCATCATAGCAAATCATGACATTTTGAACCTCTAACCATAAAGAAACAAGAGATTGCAACACAGTATTTCAAAGTAGTCCGGAGATCCTCCTGTCGTTACGACTTCCCGGGTTCCTTCTCCTTCGCTTTGATCTTTACACCGATCAGTTTATTCGCCTTTCCTGAGCGCGCTTGACTGCCCGACCCGCTTGTAGACGAACTTGAAACGGATTTTAGAAGCGGTGTTGTTGCTGACGATTGTAATGTCGGTGGTAGAATAGACAATGGAGATGCGGAGGGTTTTGGCTTGGACATCAGTTGAGGTTTTGGTGGTGGCGGCCGTTTAATGTTCGTCTGTTGATCTGGAAGTGTAGGTGGTGGTTTCATTGGCAGAGAGGGATGGAAGGGCAAGAACGACCCGGAAGATGGTTTGCCTGGAAGAGATGGGGCATCCATATTGACGTCGCCTGAGGATGGAGTCGGCTTAGGCCGCGGATTGGTGCTTTCCATTTGCCGCAATTTTGCCTCCATCATGGCAATTTTGTCCCCCGTTTTCCTGCAGATAGTGTCATTCAAGGCGGAGGAGATGTGAAGAACAAATACGAACCCCTCGTGCCGGTTACTCATGCCTGTCTTAAGCATACTGAGGGTTGTGGGACGACCGGTATCCATCATGGTTTTTCTGCTCTTCAGCGATGACGGTATCCCGACGCCGCCGTATTGGTCCAGAGGCGCTTGGTGTGCGAACGTCACGATGAGCTTGCGACCTCGGAGCGGTTTCTCATGTGCCATGGTCAATGCTTTCAGAGCATCCTACGTCATAAAATAAATCAGTTTAGGGTCGGGGCAAGGGGATCCTCCAGGCCACCCTCGCGCTTTCTCCGCCGTGGTCAATATATTCGGCGGTTGTCTGTGCAATCGTGACTATGATCATCACGTTTTCACAGAAGACCATAGCCAGGACATGGCGAGCATGGAATGAAAATAAAAACCGAGGGTGAGCGATGGAGTTCCTTCAGAAACGGATACAAAAAATGGGAGTTGCATTCGCGCACGGAGGAGGAAGGGAAAGAAGTTGAAAAGAGAACACTCACGTCCTTGTTTCCGTACTCGATGAACGCATATCCGCGAGGTTTGCCCTTCAGTAACCCGGTCTTGTGGAAGAGATAGTCGAGCTTGGTCACTTTGCCAAACTTGGAGAATACCTGCAGAAGGGTGTATCTGGGGAAGGGTTTTGTCAAAATTCATGATATGGAGGTAGTTGAGACTTACTCGTCCACTGAAGGATGCAGATTGCCAATGTACAATCTGTCTTTCAGGACCTGTCGGGGCTGTTCAACCGGGCTTCCGCCTCTTTCCGTTGCAGGTTCTTTATCGTCGATTGTTGGAAAGAAGAGGTGATCATCTGGAGTTGGAGTATTCGTGGCATCTAAATTTGTGGAGTGAGGAGGTGCGAGATCGTCCAGGGTGACAGCACTGCTGCTCGCCATTAGTGAAGGCGTTCAAGATGAGTTTAAGCTGAGGAGCACGGAGGTTCCATTGTTCTGCGTGTACAGAAAGCTAAAGGATTATTAATTATACAAGAATTATACATGCATTAATGGGGTAGTGGTAACCTGGGTCGTTGCCATTCGAGTGATAAGCTCGACCCGCCGGGGGTTCGATTCCCTCTTAATGCATCAATTATTCGTGCCTTGATTTTTTTCTTGGTTTGTTTGTTTTTCCGCTCTTGTTATTTCTGTGCTGTCTCTGTTGTCCAGCGCTCCTTGCATGTTCCCAACATCTGAAGTTTCCATTCCGTTGCTGCGATGCACATGAATTATATATGACACAGACTGCCTAGGTACATATAAGGATCTGGTATTTCCATACGGTTTAGGCAGCTTTTACACCACCCCATGCTACTTTCTGACCGGTCCTGATTGGCCTGTTTTGGCTTGTATTTTCTCCTGCAGATGGAGTAGCTGTGGCTGGGCCAGTAGATTTGGGAGGAGTGGGAAGCGGCATGCTTTTCAGATCATCAAGGATTTTTTGCGTCCGCTCTGTGTTTTTGATAAACCAGCCAGCGTATCGTCTACCGACGGTCGATTCAGCGATGTGGACCATATTCTATGGGAAAAGAAGACGAGTAAATCATTGAATAATAGGAAGTTTGTCATGAAAGAGGCCAACGTACCTCGTCAATGACGAAGTTGAGGTCGCTTGTCGTGATTGTCTGGCCATCTAGCAGACTGCTACCCTCAGTTCCGGTCACACGGCTGATGCTGCGGCTAGCCTGCTTCAGCACCATCATCTCCTGCACGAGCTCTTCCTCGTCCGCGTCCAAGAAATTGGCGAGTTTCTTGGCACCGAGACTCGTGTACAGCTTTAGGAAGCTGCGCAGGGTTGGGACAGGGAGCTGCGCTGCGACGTCGGCGAGGAAAAGTTCGAGGTGGCGATGGGTGGAATCTGTCTGAGCGGTGGGTGTTGTGGGTGAATCAGCCTCAGCGCTTGCTGAGATCAGGGCATTGATAGCGGCGGGGTCTTCATACGGAGGAGGGTTAGCAGTGATGAATTTGGGGCATGCATAAAGGAAGAGTTCCTCGAAAGCCGCCAAAGCATCAGGACTGCGAGGTGAAAATGAGTTAGTGTATCAGCACACAATTGAAATCGACGTACCCTCCGCGAGCCATTTTTGCATATTGTTCTCCATAACGTTCTTTTGCAATGTTGGCGATGTTGTCATCCAGTCTGCTGGGCGAGAGGGCATGACACATCGCGAATAGGGCATACATCCTGTCTGCAGTTTTGCTGATCTACGATGCAAATATATCAGGACGAAGTTGCTACCTGACCCATGAGAGCAAAACGTACTTGATCGTATTGATAGCTTCGGGTATGATATTGTCGCATGCGCATGATGAAGTTGAGGATCGTGACAAATGTGCGGATGGCGTCTGGGTACCGGCGTAGCATAATGTAGCAGAAGCCAACATAGTAGTAGGTGGCGACATGACAAGCTGTCACTCTTGTGAAAGGCGACTGGAGGAAGGTTAAAACGTAGATAATCGGCATCGTGGACAATACATACCTTCTGGTTGAGTTCAACGTTGTCCATCACCTTGAGACCTAGAGTAAAGTCTCCAAGGTGGATATGTACTCGCAGAAGACCGATAATGCTGAAGTAGCCGAGCATCCGATAAAGAGGTCGCTGACCGTATTCACCAACAATTTCACTATCAGAAGATGAACTAATGAGCCAGAATGCAGAGAAGATGAAGAGTTTTACGAACGCTATTTCTTCTGGTGATTTTCCTTCCCGCTGTGCGACGATATACTCATTGACTCTTGACTTTTGCATCAGGGAGTACAGCACATTCAGAACGCTGTACGAACTCCACACCTGGTCGTTTATGAAGCTGACTGTTTGATAAGGATATAAGACGAGAAACGTACCGGTCCGCCCTCAGCCAGCATCATCAGTTCATCCGGAGTTTTCGAGGTGACTTTTGACCGCCAGGTGCAGAAAACTTGGTATTGGTAGATGAATTCGTCGATAATGTCCCAGAGCCATTGCTCTGGAAGCTCGAGCTCCACAGGTCCATCAGAATCTACGAGATGGTTAAGTATGTAGCCCTTTTCTAGATCAAGGTCTCGCACGCACTGAGGAGGTAGTTGAACAGCTCGCAGCTATTTTCATAGGAATGGAAGCGGTCGTCAATGTTGGGTTGCAGACGCGAGTAGACATGTCGGTAGTAGAGTTCGCGGTAAAGGATGAGGAAGATAGGATCTGCGCCACAGCCAGATGTCAAGAAAAAAAATCTGAGAACATCATGAGGGTTGCGTACCGTCATTAACCAAAGGCGCAATCAGCTCGGCTTCTGGCCACTCTGTCTTTGCGTAGAACTTTTCGGTATATTTATTCCAACCACTCTCATACGCAACCGTGATCTCCGTCAGATTGTTCTCCAATACGGCTTGGTGGAAGTGGATGATGAACTTAATTGGAGGCGATAAGATATTCATTTCGATAGTCCTGACAGTTGTGAAGACGTACACTTTTGACAACGTCTGGAATCTGGGAGAACGCTGCTTGCTGTGCCATATGCTGTTGCATTGCAATGAGAGTTGATTCGTCGATTTGAGGCTGGTGCATGTGTGCTGGTGTTCATAGGTAAGTAGGTTGTACTGGCAATACCAGGCATTGAAGGCAACTCACAATCTTCATATTGTACATTCTGGCCATAGTTTCCCATGGCAATGGAGAGATCGACATCCTCCTCGAGATCTTCCTCTGCATTCCAAAGGGCCAGACGTTGTTGAGCCATTTTGCTATACGAGCTTTGAACAGAGGTGACAGTGATGGAGCAAGAAAATATTTGACTTCCGCGGCATTTGCCGGTCCTCCCCTTCATCGTTAACGTCCACCTTCAAGTTCCCTGTCAGGATTCTAAGTACTTTGACCGCTTATCAACATGCTTTCTGCTTCATAACCACGTCATATTGAACACCATGCCATGCGCAACACAGTTCGAGCTTCTTCCGAACTTTTTTCTTGCTTTTTGTAGCTCTTGAAGTTGAACGAAGTTACATAGCCAGACCGGAAGCTCCGCCATTGGTGTCGCGAATTTGCGGATTTGAGGCCAAATTCGTCAATCTCTGTCATTTTTGCGGATTTGACAGCCAAATCCTAGTTCTGTCCACCTTCTTGCGGATTTGAGCAGCGGACAAAGTTACCAGGCTGCTGAAAATTTTCAGGTTCATGCCGTGCACTAGCCAAATGGACCAACATTTGGAATCCTATTTATGCACGAATGCTGGGACCAAAATTTTGGTTTTAGCACCGCAGGAGAGAAATTTGGACATTCAAGTGACAATCTCTGTCCGTTTTGCGGATTGAGGCGGAACCGTGCGGATTGAGCCGAATTTGGATATTTCGCGACACCAATAACAAGAGCTTCCGGTCTACATAGCCATAGCCTTACGCGACAAAATTAATGGGAATATCTTGAAGTCCAAGTCCAGATTCCGAGTCATAGGCGATTAATGAGAGATAAAATCAGGAGGTAAGTAGCTGCATAATAATCTATTGAACCTTAACCTTCGAGTCCCCATTTACTACAGTGCCGTTTCTGGCCCTTTCCACTGCTTCTAATAAACGTCGTTGTTCGCGACGTTCGCGACCCCGCGTCACCATAGGCTTAGGTTCCAGATCGGCGAAAAGGTGCTTGCAGACCACCTCAATTACCCAGCATCCAGCGAAATCGATAATCATCGACGACGTGAGGCGGAATTTGAACTTAAAAAAGAAATTAATGCTGGTCAAGAGCGCTGTGCAATAAACGGTACTCACTGAGCCTGTCATCTCAACGATTTGCAGCCAGCGGTTCATTTCGGGCATGAAGTCTGTTGCTCCAGAGAAGGCAACAGCACTAGCTCCAAGGAGACCGTACCACAGCGCTTTGTTCTCGCGAATTCCTTCTCGGAAAGGTCGTCCCTAGAATTATGTTGATATCATGTCAACTGAGCAGGTTGAAAGTCAATTACCTGGAAGTTGATCGTAAAGGTCGATACTGCTGAGACAGACCTAACAAATAGATGGCGGTATTCAACAAGCTGGGTTCAAATTTCGCCTCGAGGTCTATCGGACCAATCCTCCTACACATCGAGTTAGCCAAGATTCGCCAGTAACAAAGGTTCAGGCTTACGGTTCATAGATATAAGAAAGGTTGGTGATTAGACCAACGTAGCAATGTGCAGAGCGAATTGTAAAAGAACCGAGAGAAGGACGTAAAAATTAAGATATTTCCCAGCGGACGTTCTCTTGACAATTTTTCAACGGGCTGTTATTGGAGAGATAGTGAGTAAACTATACAGTGATGAAGATTTTGCAACAACCTTCGCCCTCGAGATGCACAAGAAACAAACAGACATCAGCATGCCCGTTATTGTGACCTGATAATCTCCGAACTTGATTCCATCCAGGTATTGAACACTGAGACTGTATGCCGTAATGAGACAATTCAAAGCCAAAATCTTATACATCTGGATGGTGGCCACAAGGGTGCAACGTCCTTGGCGAATAATGTGGGTAACTGCATAACAAGTCAGATCAAGATGGGAGGTCGATGTTGGAAATAGACTCACTGGCAGAGACATGGGACAACTTCGACGTGAACGGAGCCGCGCATGAAGCGTCGCCGAGCTTGATCTTGGGCACATCCTCGTCGCCTTCCATTTCTGACATTTTTTCAGTAATGGCAGCCATGTCGAACTACATCAAAGTAAGAATCATGTCGCAAGCAAGAGGAAGATGACCAACCTTCTCCAAGGGGTTCTTTTTACGGGCAACTTCCAGATTCTGAGCAGCCCTTTGTTGGGCTTGGACAGCTTCAGGCATGAGATGTGCAATGGCCGGGGGAACAGGCGGTGGTGGTTGATTGAAACGAGCGGAGATGCTGAGCTGACTTTCGTATACTTTCTTGATACGCTCGAGCTTTTGACGCTCGGCGATCTTTTCGAGGTCCTCCTGCGTCCCGTCCAGGAGTGCGACTCCAATATGGGCTTGTTTCAGAGCTCCGACATCGTTAGTGCCGTCGCCCGCCATGAGTGTAACGTATCCCAGCGTCTTCAAGGTGGTCAAGATGTACTCCTTCTGAGATGGTGATACTCGGGCGTAGACCCATGTGTTCTGGACAAG